AAGATTACCTTAAGTCGGGATGTTCTTTTGATGTAAGATCTTTGTATCCTTTCAAGCCTCATCAGTACGAAAAGGAGAACTAATAAGGGGAACAGGCAGAAGCTGCATCCCTTAGTCAAGGACACCCTGGAACTAATAAAAGGCTTTAAGGATGTAGTGAACCGAGGTGGTGATGTGAGCTGCGCAGACACTGGCAAAACACTCGAGGCCCATAAATACAGCTCCACAATTCCAAGGAACTATGATTGATACTAAAGAACCAGGCCACGGGTCAAACAGGCCGCTCAAGCTGAGCAGGCTGGGAGGCATTACGTAATTTCTGTGGAAATCACTTCAGTAAAAAAGAAAAAAAAAAAAAAAAAAAACACAACAGAGGGGGCTGCGCTCGGGAAGCGACTCTCGATTTTTTTTCCTGCGTTAACAAATGAGGAGGGCGCGGAAAGCCCGGGGTGGGGGCGCGCCGGACCCGCCGAACGCCACCCCTGAGCGGGGCTGGGGTGGAGGAAACAACCGCGGGGGCCGGGCCCTCCCGTGAGGGCGATAATGGCGGGCGCGGCCATGGCGCTGAGGGCGGGCCCGCACATGCGCCCCGACCCTGCGCTGCGTCTGAGGCGCTTGTGAGGGAGCGGAGCGGGCGCTGCCGCCGGCCCCGCCGCGGTCATGGGGGAGCCGCTGCTGCTGATGTCGGTCCTGCCGGTGCTGCTGGTGCTGTGGGGGCTCGGCGGAGCGCGGGCTGAGGGTGAGCGGCGGGTTGTGTCTCCCGCCGGGTGCTCGGGGGAAGGGGCGCGCTTGGAGGGGCAGGTGCGGCGCCGGAGCCCCCCGCCCACCGTGGGGGTGGAAGGAGGGAGAGGGGTCGCGGTGCCCTCCCTGCTTCGGTGCTGCGGGGTGAGGGAGCCCCGGGGGCTTTCTCGGGGAGGAGGGAGGAGGAAATGGCTTGTGGAACCATGAGGGTTTGGGCGGTGTTTTGTGTGTTTGTGTTTGTGTGTGTGTGGGGGGGTTGAATCGCCGAACGGTTTGCGTGGGAAGGGACCTTACAAAGATCATCCCCTTCCAGCCCCTGCCATGGCAGGGACACCTTCCACCATCCCAGGTTGTTCTGAGCCGTGTCCAACCTGGCCTTGGACACTCCCAGGGCTGGGGCAGCCACAGCTTCTCTGGGCAACCTGTGCCAGGGCCTCCCCACAATCACAGGAAGGACTTGGCCCTCATGTCTAATCTAAACCTGCTCTCAGTTTAAAGCCATTCCTTCTCGTCCTATCACTCCATGCCCCTCTAAACAGCCCCTCTCCAGCTCTCTTGGAGCCCCTTTCAGGTACTGAAAAAGTGAAGGGAAGGTGGTGCTGCAGAAGCGTTTGGTGCTAATGGGACCCAGAGCTTGAGGTTTTGGTAAATTTCTTTTCTGGACAATTTCTAAACAATAATAGAAATAGATCGGGAAAGACTGATAGGTGTCAAAGAGGTGATGGCCTCTGTGTGTAAGTTTTGCAGGTTTATATAGTCTGGTGATTCATATAGAGGGTCTTGAATGTGTTTTGTTGAGTCCTTTTGCGTGGAGGAGTTTTTAGGAGTTGGACTTCAATGAGCCTCGTGGGTCTCTTCCAGCTGAGGATATTTTGTGATTCTAACCAACCCCAGAACATCCCTGGGTCTGTAGGTCTCTGTTGGATCGTGCAGCTGATTTTTAAACTCTGCTTTATGCTCCTTAGACTTGCTTTCGTTTTTCCTTCGTGAAAACCTGGGGAACTACGTGACATATTTTCATAACATATTTTCACTGTCAGCTGTGTGAGTGGGGCTGGCTGGTTTTGTTTTTCCTGCAGCAAGCTAAATAAGCGTTTCATTGCCGATGGGTATACAGCGAGTTAAGTTCTGTATTTAACTTTAAAAAAAAAAAAAAAAGGGAGACAAAACATAAGATCTGGAAGGAAATGCATTGTCTGGGTAGAATGCTGAAGGACTTGGGAAAAAATAAGTACTAGTACAGAGTCTGCAATTAAAATGTAAGTTAAAATTTGGAAACTAGTTAAATATAAAAATATCTCCGGCTCTTAGGAATGTCACCTCTTGGATTTACCAGCAAATCCTTAAAACCCCTGGAATTACCCTGGCTTCTGTGCTGTTACACCTCGGCGTGTTTCTCCTGTTGCTAAGGTTGTGTATTCCCTTTTCCTCCCTCTCCCAGATGTGTGTAGTGCTCCAGACAGGCTGCGATTTGCAGAGCTGGAGGAGAGGTTCAGAGGGATACAGACTTTTCCTGTTGGAAGTCAGGTCTCCTTCATCTGCCGACCGGGATATATGAGAATCCCTGGAAAATCCTTAACTCTCACGTGTGGTCCTGACTTACTGTGGTCACCCAAAGAGCAGTTCTGTATAGGTAATGGTGCACTTTTTTTTGTACCCTTTTTGCTTTCTCCCTTTGACATTTAACAGTTTTATTTGTTTTGCCAGTTAGAATTAGTATTTTGCAATATTTTAAGCAAGGCTTGGAAAACGCTGATGTTGATAAGGGCAATATATGCCCAAGACTTTGTATATATATAATTGGAAGTGTACATTTTTTCCTTTCTTTTTATTCCCCATTCCCCCAGAGAGAAGATGTACGCACCCAGGAGAATTAATGCATGGTTTTGTTCATGTGACAGATCTTACATTTGGTTCAACTGTTACTTTTTCTTGTCAAGAAGGGTAAGCATTTTGGTGAAGTTAATGAATCCTTTTTTTTTTTTTTTTTTTTTGCATGTTTACACCAGATCTGAACCAAACCCCAATTTTCTATGCAGGTTCCATTCCAGTTCTGACTTAAAATCTGAATTCTACCTGGAGCAAAAGAACTTACAGCTAAATTTGATTTGATTTCCTGGTTTAAGTGCATCAACCTTTAGCTTTCTAGCGAGATTCTGCAGGGTGAAAATTAGAATTTTACCTCTGATCACTTTCTTTTAGTGCTTGCTCCTGTGGCAAAGGGAATAAATATATATTCACCCTTCATAAATATATATATCACCCTTCATTGTTATATTAAACAATGGCCCACTTGTTTGTGTGTAGCCAATGAAGATACTTCTCCCATTACAACAAAACCTTGGTGTGTTATGTCCCCATAATCACAGAACAGAATTGTATAAACCAATTTTTTCAGGTGCTTGTTGGAGAAAGGAGAGATTTGAGTTTAACCTCTTTAAAAATGTTTACCCCTCCAGATACAGATTACTTGGAAATGATAAGATTACCTGTGTAATTATGAACGATGGTGTTGACTGGGATGGTCAGATGCCTTACTGTGAAGGTAAGTAAATTCCTGCCGTGCTTAATTTTTTATTCAGATGGTGGTAGTTCATTTAAAAACAGCTGTGCCATAAACCTTCCAGGATAAGAAATGATGGTAAAATAGGACAGGTTGTTTGGTTTGTTGTGGTTTGTTTTTGTTTTTTTTTTTTTGTAACTATTTGGGATGTACCTGAGGGATGACCACTGAAAAATATCAGTTATGGTGGTAATTATATTAAAAAATTATATTAAAATCAACCTCGTGTTGAAATTGAGATTCTCAGCTATAACTGTAGCTTGACTTGGAGCAGCTATGTCAGGTTTTAAGTGAAATTCCTTGGAAATCAGGGCTTGCTGTTTCTGAGGTGAACAGGCTGACACACCAACGTTCTTTCTGAGTGGGTTGTGTTGATTGGTTTCCAGTGATTCCCTGTGATCCACCTCCCAACATCCCCAACGGGCACCACACGGAAGCGACCGACTACATATATCAGACTGTAGTGACCTACTCCTGTGATGATGTTCCAGCGGGCGCAGATCCCTTCTCCCTCATCGGCTCAGATACTATTTACTGCATGGCTGATGAACACTCAAATGGAGTTTGGAGTGGGCCACCTCCACAATGTAGAGGTTGTTGGGATTTTTAATTTTTTAATGTATTTGTTGCGGTCGCTGTCCCTTTTTTTTTGGAAGCGGGGTGGGGCGGGGAAGGGACCCTCCCTGTAGAAAAGGAGAAGCAAATCCGCTGGTTCTAAGTTTGACACAGTTCCAGTGGAGATCATGTCAGCATGGTGGGTACTAATTGATCATGACTCAGAATATGGCTGAAATTTAAGTTAAAACTTCAAAACCACATGTGTGAGTGTCTTGTTGGTAGAAGTGACAAGGCCAAAGTGGAGGGAATGAGACACCATAAAGCTGAACTAAAACTGTGTAAAGAACAAAAGGATATGGAAGCTAAATTGGAAACAGTAATAGGCTAAGGAAACCCTTCCAGAACAGCTTGAGGACTGGGACATTTGCAGGTGGGGACAGGGGGTCGTGTTTGTTGCCACGTTTGTGTTAACAAATGTTTCAGAGCTGTTTTTCTTTTGTCCCTTTTCAGTGGTCAAATGTGAAAACCCGAGAGTTAAAAATGCGCAAAAAATATCTGGATTCGGGCCTTCCTATAGTTACAAGGACTCTGTCCAGTTTCAGTGTAATCCAGGCTTTTACATGGTCGGAGAAGAGGTGGTTTACTGTTCAGAAAATAACACCTGGTCTCCTCCACTACCAACTTGTACGCAAAGTAAGTCTTTCCGTCAGATTCCAACTTGTCTTGGGTGCTGAGAGTGTTGTAAGTCTTGCCTTAGCTGAAATTTCAAATCATAACGCTGTGGTTGTAAGTCAGAAGCTGAGGAAGTTGACTGTGGATGACGTTTTAGGTGTTTGAGGGGCTCTTAGCTCCAAAGAGTTTTTGGCTTACAGAAACAATCAGCCAATATGGATTTCAGAGCTACCACATCATAAGATTGTATCATCTTAGTGAATATCTACAGTGACGTTTCTTTAAGCCCTCTGAAGGAAATATTTATACGTAAAATTGCGGTCAAGTTAAACTCCTCTCAGATATGCTGAGCTGTTTTTCTCCTGCAAGGGCAATGTGTGTTTGTGGAGTGAGTTAATGAGTTATGAAATATTTCAAGTTTATTATCACTAAGCTTGTGTTTAAAATCATGTGGTGATTCCTGCAGATGTATGTGGTGCTCCAGAGGTCACAAACGGAGCCGTGGTTCCGATGAAATCTGTCTATAATGAAGGAGAATCTGTTCAGATAAAGTGCAATGCTGGCTGCTCTTTTCCTGATGGCACTACAGAAGTGACAGTGGCTTGTCAGGGACAGAAGACGTGGAGTTATTTTCCAAAGTGTACATGTGAGTAAAACTCATACTTGGTAAAATCAGGGGCAGAGTGACAAGTTTCAAATATCTGCTGCAGTAACACGGCTTTTACTTTTTTTTCCCCCGTTTTCATTCCAGGTGGGCCTGAAAGTCCTGGTTCCACTCCAGGTACAAGTCCTTCCACTCCAGGCATAAGTTCAGGTTCCACTCCAGGCATAAGTTCAGGTTCCACTCCAGTCATAAATTATGGTAGAGTAGTTGTGGGACAAAAGCCTTCCTATGCTGTGGGGGATCGTATTACGATTGAATGCTACGCGGGGTACACGTTACATGGTGAAGCTGAAATTCAGTATATGGGAGGAAACCAATGGGCTCCTCAAGTGCCAACCTGCCAGCTGAGTAAGTATGAACTGCAAGGAAATTCCACTAGAATGAAAACACATCTGAGAGCAGCTCTGCTGCTTAGGAATGTCCTTTGATAATCAGCAGAAATAATTTAATGCAACCTCCTCCTTTATTTTGGCATTTAAAAAAATAGGGTTTGCTAAAATCAATTAAAAATATAAATATTTGAAGTTAAGTAGATGCTGTGGTGTAAACTGACCTGCTTCAAAGATTGTGTTGGCAGCATGCTTCATCTGCTTAGAGTAGCATTGTGAATATTTTTGTAATGATGTTTGAATAAGAATCACACATGTTCCTCTTGTAATACTGACTCCCTCTTTTTTTTTAGGTGGATATATCATAGCTATCATCTGTGGTAAGTATTTGCTGAAACCTGAACAAGATACGATGTTGACTGTATTTTTTTTTAATGTGGAAATTACTTGATCACTTTGATAAACTTCTGTCATTGAGTATGTTACCCAGTTTTGTATAAACTCATAAAACGTTGTGGTAGAGGGTTGTCATTCCTGTTTTAATGTTACTGAACTGGTGGGGTTTTGCCGTCCTGGTGGCCATTGTTCATGAGCTGAATTAAGAGTCTTGAGCAAAGAAACAAATACTTAATTTATGTGGCTTATTTAATAAATAAATTGGGATGGGGGGTTTATTTGACGGGGTAGGGGTAGTGTTGACCTGTGGATGAAAACAATGCTATTTCTGCAAGACTTTTTGATGCTTTTTTTTTTGTGAGCTAGAGATGATCTTTATCACTCTAAAGCTTTTATTTTTATTTATTTATTTTTTAATTCTTCCTGAAGTGCTTGTGGTAATTGTGGTGCTCCTGGCAGCCTTCTGGACCTACAAGAAATGCTTTTCACAGAATGGGTGAGTAAGCTTCCTTTTTTATTACTGTTATTATTGCAAATTTCCAGATGACTGAGCAAAAGCTGTGCTGACATGTGTGAGTTTCTTGAGCTTTATCTGCCCTTTCTTGTTCAAATGCCTGATTTGTGTGTGAGCTTCTCACAGCAGCTGATGGAAGCTAAAGCCTAACAATATATTTGACTTTGTTTTTGTATCTGTTGTTCAGCTAAGCTGCTAATTAACACTTGCACTGATCTCAGGGAAGGAAAAGCCTTGTTCTTAAGATTGTGTTGGGCATATTTACACTTGCCAAGGAAAGTACTTTTGTCCTCTGCTTAAAAACATGTCAAGTTTACCTTTTAAAACCAGGGCTAGTATTGGTTGTGCGGGCTTGTGCTACTGGAAGGTTTTCAGGTTTGTTTGTTTTTTTTTCTCCTGCAGCAGAAATGTTGGTGTCCCTGTGCAAAAGACTGTAAATCAACTGTAAATATTAGATTCATACATAGGTAATAGTGTTCTTCTGTTTTTAATGAGACATAAAGGGTGTTTTGAACTTTATCTTCAAAACAACTGGGGTTTTATGTATGCTTTTTCATGGAGGGGTGGCAGGAAATTTAAATGCCTCTTTGTGCATTACTTCTTGCTGTAATGCCTGATTTTAGCTTCTTGAAAGAAGCCTGTTTTGTCGGAGAAATAGTTTGTAACATGCAAAACACTGAAAATTCAGGGCAACTTAGGTGGTGCACAGGGACTGTTAGGAAAAGCATCTCATAAAAACGGAGTAGTCTTTTAACAAAACCTGTTGGAATTTATCTGGAGCACGTGAAGCAAAGACAGGGATGCTTTAAATAAAGTAAACCAGAGGAACTATTCCCGTGGTTCGTATTTGTAGTGAAGCACACACAGAGTGCTTGGGAGAACCCTGAAGGCAGTTGATGCTCAGTGAGGTTTTAGCCTTAGTACCTTCTACATGGGCAGCACAGGATCATTACAGGGACCAGGGTGACAGGGCCTGTGGGGCTGCTGAGGAATTTCGGGCTTTTCAGCCATTGCTTCTCATCCACGACTTGGATATTTTGCAGTCTGGGCCAAAGAAGAGTCCATGGGAGCTCATAGCATTAGGGCAGCACTTTCTGTCTTCATCCATGGAGAGACTTCTCAGGGCGTAGGAAGCAGCAGGGATTTAAAGCAACATCATAAAAAAAATTAAAGAATGTTGTAGCTCTGAATATTTTGCAGGAGTTTTGAAGCCTTCTTGTGCTTAGTGCTCTCCTTTCTCTTTCTCTCTGTGAACATCTGACTGTTAAAGCTCTTCCTTGCCTGGAAACCCTAATCTAATCTCTTATTAAGGCCTCTCTCTCCCTATTTAGTTTTCCGAGTTCCTGACATAGCTAAGCCTTTGTGAACTGTTCTGCTTCCACCCCCCTACTTGCTGGTTTGTGGCCTTCAAATGGCAGCAAATCTTTCCTTGCCCTCCCTCATGTGTGTTTAATCTGCCAGTTTTATGGGACATTCAATTAGACCTTTCTCCCCTTCTGCTGTTCAGCTCGTACACAGTTGATGAGAGTTGCAAGGAAACATGTATTTTAAAAACTCAGGCCCCAGCTGAGATGGAAGACACTGAATACATGAATTAATTGAATCTTTCAAAGGTATACACTTTCCACTTCATTTGGACTTTTGCAGTGAAGCTTTTTTATTGGGGTTTGCTTGGAATTTAAGAAGTGTGGAGTCTGTGAACTTTGGCTTCTTATAGGAAAGTATATCATAACCTTTCATTCATTCTGGGAGAATAGGATATAATACATAAAGAATTGTCTTTCGGTAGTGTAAATAATAGCTTCCAGTGATTCTTAGTGCTGAGTTGTCCTTTGGAGGATGAGTAACACTTTACACACTTAGTCAGTAGAATGTTTGCACCAATTTTAGTAACTGTAAGTGGATTCCAGTGCTGTTACTTTTCTTAGCTAATAGTGTAATTCCCTAGGATTAAAAGACAGTTGAAGCTGGAAGCCACCTTTGGACACTAAAATTCTAAAGGTATTTGTGCATCCCTTCAGAGCAAACCAGATTCCATCTCTCTCAGAATTATTGATTCACCTGCATTTTTCTTTCTTAGAAGTAAAATATAAATAAATGAAGGTTCTAACAAGGTCTTTTTAAACCTTCTTATAAAAAGGTGGTTTCTTTCTCGGAGTTCTGTAGCCCTGAAAAGGAGCAAAAACGTAATTGCTTGTTTGCAACTGATTTCTTCTGTATTTTAAACTAGTGCTTAGCCCAGTAGTGAGTGAGGATGGTTGGGATTGCACTTGGGTGGGGTCAAATGAGCTCTCTCAAAATCTGACTCTACAAACCTTGTTCCAGCAGAACAGATTTGAGACAGAACAGCTTAGTTTGACTAGTATTTGTCAGTATTTTGTCCTTACAGCCTAAGAGAGTTTGCACTACAAATACTTTTTTAAACCATTATCTTCTTTTCTGTCCCTTTTCTCTATTGCACAAGTTCTTAAAAGGTGATGGGTGTTTATCTCTTACTCAAACTTAATGCCAAGGTCTGGTTTTTATTGACTTGTAAAGAACAGGTGATTTTTCAGTGTTTTTGATAGGTTTTGAGATGGCATATATAAAGATTAAGCTTGAAGTTTCTTCCAAGATAATGTATGGATTAAGAAATATCATCTTTACCTCTGAAGAAAAGTGTTTCTAATTAAGATAGGATTAGTTGTCTCAGTTAGTTGGGCTTATTTTTGGAGAGAAAAAAAGGAATCAGGAGATAGATTAGAGTTCTTCATTCCAGTCTTACCATTACATGTGATAATGATAAGAGAAATTACTGCTCTGGTATGTGAAAACACTTGTTAACTCCTGAGTTTATCTTATGTAGAACTCCTTAGAGACTTGGAATATTAGCACATGGGTTTGGTGTGGGTTTTTTTTTTTTTTCCTTTGGTAAAGCAGAAGAGGAGTTATTCAAGATCTTGAAACATATATAAGAATGTTATTGTGAATTTCAGTTCTTGTATGTTTAAGTATTGTAAATTTGCTGTTAGTGGACTGCACAATCAGAATTCTGGCAAACTAATAGTTTCTGCTTAGAAAATGTGTACATATTGAATTTGAAATGAATGACATGGGGTGCATCTGATGGGGCCTCCAGATCAGTGAGGAGTCCTCTGACTGTTCTGTTAGTTTTTGATAATACTCAGGCATGGTCTGTTCATCACTTGAAATGATCCATTTGGATCAAATGCTCTTCTACTCCTTGGGTGATTCTTAACACTTCATAGAGAGTGAAGCAAAAATCTCCTCAGTCCAGCAGCTGCTTAGTAAGGAGAGGACAAATAATGACTTAGTTTTGTGACTTTACCTGTTGATTTAATGCCAAAACTAAGGATGTGCTATCAGTATAAATGTAAAACCTATTGAAATGTAAAAATCTCTGATTTGACTTGTTTTTTTGTTTGTAGGAAACGCGACGGCACTCCATGTACTGCCGAATATAAGATCTGTAAAGCGTGAATGGCCATTTTGGGGGGGGGGGGGGGGGGGTGGGGGGGGGGGAAGGGACTCGCAGTGGAATATCCCTGTCAGAAATGGAAAACAATTGCACTTGCATTGGGTAGCCGAGTATCTCGTGCTGTGTCGTCTTGTGGCGGTTTAAATGTAGGAGGAGATGATTAACGGGGTAAAAAGTGTGGATGCAGTTACGTAGACGGTTCTTCCTCATGGCCCACGCTGTCTTTCCTCGTGGCTGCATTGTCCTGTCCGTGCCTGTGCCATGGTCTGTAGGACCTGTAGCATTCCAGAGTGTCTGCGTGCAGGAGTGCTGACTGTCCCAGTGCCAGCTGCTGCTGCCATCAGCGCTACCCCTTTGCCCATGGAAGACTGTCCAATATTCTCTGTTCCTTTATAGTTCTGCTCACCAAAACTGTGTCCTCCTCCTTCTCCTCCTTTTTTTTGTGGCTGTTGTCCCTGGTATTCTGAAATGTGTTATTATTATTTCCCACAAGAGATCAGTGTCATTGAAGGCTGTGTCTTCTTGAAACTCTCGCAGATCAGATCATGTGCTCTACGTCTTTTTTTTTTTTTTTGCCAGAGTTGATTTCTGTGTATCTAATTAATTAAAGTGTGCCTTTAAATCAGAGTTTTATAGCTTTTCCTTTGCTTTTAAGAAGGAAAAAAAGCCATATATATTTCTGATTCTTTGATACAATCCTGCGAAGGCCACAGTGGATTTGTTATAGTAGAAAACTGGAGGTTTCTGTAGCAAAGACATCTCCTACCTTTGAATTTGTTGGTCTGTTCTGGAAGTTACCTAATTAAAGGTACTGCTGAGAAATCAGTGGTACCATGTCCTGTCATGAGCACAGTGTGAGTCCCTTTGTGGGCTCAATTTTTTTTTATTGAGCCTTGATGTCTGTTCTGGAGATACTTTGCTCCTTTTCAGGATAGAAAAGGTGCTGTGTGGCTCCACCTTCCTTGCTCTTTTTCCTTGAAATCATGTATTCCACGTTTCAAATCTCTGTGTACAGACAGTGATGTTAATCAAGCTCTGTAATGATGAATTTGTTATATACCTGTTCAGAAAGAGAAGCCCTTCCCTGTCAGACTCACTTTTCATGTTGAAGGAAAACCAAAGCAGTTTGGTGCTGGGAGTGCAGGACTGCATGTGCTGGCAGTGGTGGTAGATGAGGTCTCTCTTTAGCTCCTTAACACAATGTTTTAGTCCAGACTGTGGCTCCAGGAGTTGGCAAACGAGTTTGCCACGTAATTCCTTATCAAAACCAAAAGCCTAATTAGGAACAGGCTTTAGCTTCATGAATCTCAACTGTCAACCTCCAGGCAGCTTCTGAGAACCAATTCCCCCCAGAAAAAACCAAATTGCCTCACTTCAGGAGCCTGGGGTAGCATTGAAACTGTTCTGGCTTGTCTGTGGTGGCTTGGCACTGCTCCACTGTCATCAACTGATTGTTGGAGTAACAGAGAACTGTTTGGGGCTTTATAGGGCTTTTTGGGACAATCCCAGCAGTTGCATTGTTAGAGCCCATAATAGTCTGTGGTTTTTACAAAGGGGGTTTTGGCTCCCCAGGATGACTTGCTGGTCGGTATCTTAGTTTGAGAATTGTTTGTAAACCCTGTATTGTGTGACTGGGGGTTTGAGTGTGGGGGTCGCCAGCTCCACTTGCTTTGTGCGGCATCTGCAATGTGCTAAAACCCCGCTGAAATGCACTTTAAGCTGAGCTGAAATCACTGTAAAAATTGGCCTTATTTTTGCACTTCTTTCCGTATGTAAAGACTTAGTGATACCTTGTAATATTGCCAATAAAAATGTGAAATTATTTAGCAGTAAGTGTTTGTCTTTCATTCGTCATGTGCTGAGCAGCTCTTTTCCCCATTATTATTAAGATGATTTTTCGTGTAATAAACTTCTATTAGGTGGGAACTGTAGAGATTGAAATTTGCAGTTTGTGCACAGAATTACTCAATTTTAGCGTAGAGAATGTGATTTAATTTGCTGAGCAGCCTTTTAGGATTTTCTTTTAGAATTGCAGAGAATTCCCCAGAACCTCCCAAACTTTGCTGGGTTCACTCCTGGAAAACCTGGTAAAAGCTTGATGGAGAAGAGGCAGATTATCCTGTGGCTGTTCTGATGGAACACCTGAGTCAGGAGCAAAGCCCAGTGAGCGTTTTGGCACTTTTGTCCAGTGTGTGACAGATGAAATCCTTAGGGAATATAGATTAGGTGGGTTTAAGTGACATTTTAAGTAGAATGTGATTATTAATTGCATGAGTTTCACACTTAAAATGTACTTAATTTTCTTGGCAAAGCAGTGTGTGGAGTCAGCTGCCTTACAGAATGAAACCTTTCAGAGGGTGGAATAGAGAAAATAACTAATATGCCATAAGTTTTTTTCCAATTTGTGATACTCAGAAGGAGTTGGTGTGGACTGCAAATGATGCCAAACTACAGAACTTTACATTATGAATTTTTGGGATTTCAGTGAGCTTTGGTGGGATAAGCAGCTGCTTGGCAAATTTTCCAGTGGAAGGGCAGGGAGTGGAACGAGATGAGCTTTCAAACCTAAACCATGCTGTGATTCTGTGAATTTGACTTAGTCATGAATTCTGCACCATTTTTCCAAAGCTCAGTCCCACATGAATTATTTCCTCTTGGACTCTGGAACTGATAATCAGAGTCATGAACTCTGTGCCAGGGAAGAGGCTGCACGGAATAAAAATGTATTGTTGCCATCTACTGGTAACACAGTGGGAGTCGCAAGACAGGTGCAGGGTTACCTGGTTTAGTGTTAAATCACGTGAAGTGTCAGTGGTTGGTGGGTGAAAATCAGTCTGAATTAAACCCTGCCATGGCAGGAGGTTGGAACAAGGTGATTTTTAAGGTCCCTTCCAAGTCGAACCATTCTATGAATCTTAAATACTCACTTCTCAGGGCGGTGAAAATGGAGCTGGGGAGTGAAATGAAGAGACTTGCAACACTTGGATACTGTCCAGCAGGGAAACAGGTGATCTGTCTACCTCAGACAGAGCCCAGTAACATAAAGCACACAATTTTATTTACGAGGAAAAGAAAAAAAAAAAAAATCAATCTGCGTAAAGAACAGGTTAAGGCAAACAAATCGCACATGGAATAGAAGTGGCCGGATGGTTGGGTGGCTGTGCTGTCACACCTGGGCCCTGGCTTGCTGGAGGTGAAGAATCTTAGTTTACGTGTTTGAAGAGAGGCTTTGCTGTCTCTGGGAGCATCCCTCCTGACTTGCACGGGGTGCTGACTGTCCTCCTGTTGTGCAGGACGCTCGGCCTGTGGGTGTAACTTCAGAGAACAGCAAACCACACGTGTTTGTGAGGCCACGGGTCGTGCTTTTGCATGGTGGTTATTTAGGGCTTGAGGGGGGGGGTGTGGGGGAATGAAGTTTTCCATTTTAGTGTTGCTTTTCCCCCTACATCATAACCGATTTCAAATGGTGCTAGACAAAAACTGAGACTCTGAACACCAAGAGAAATCGGTCAGCCTGTGTAAGAGACGTTTTCCTGGCTCAGAGAAGGATCCTCTTGTAGATGGCAGCTATGGATTCTTTACAGATGACTATTCAGAGCTCTGATCAAAGGCTTCATCCGCACAGCAATCGTCTTTTCTGGGTGTAATGACATGTTGGACAGCAGGGAGGTCGAGCAAAGATAGTTCAGCTTTGTTCTGGTGGTTGGGATGCAGGGGTGGAGAAGTGAAAACGTTCCTAGAAGTTACCAGCAACATATTTAAAAATAATTCTAGCAAAAGGAGTGGGTTCCGTGTGTGTGACATCACCAGGATGCCCATGGCAGGGGTTGGAACAAGATGATCTTTAAGGTCCCTTCCAACCCGAACCAGTCTGTGATTCTGTGGTTGCTGAAGGCACTGTTATGTTTATATTATTGAAGGGAGTTTCTGTGTGTGTGCAGAGCCAAGTCTCTGGGAGCTGTGGAATGAGAATTCTATGGAGGTAGAGTCCCCAGGCACAGAGTGGTAAATCCATTTGCTCTAAGGTAGTAAATTAAATGTTAGTGCTAGAGATTGTCTAATAAATGTGCTCTGCCTGTCAAGATGCAAGAAGTACCACGTTGGTTTTCATGCAATTTCCAGATCACTCTACTCTGGACAACTTGAACTCATATCCATTGTTTTATTAAGTAGAAGTACATTAGAAGGAGGCTGTTCTGTTGTGGCCCTGGCTTGGGAGGGTGTACAGGGGTTGTAGAAGTGTCTAGAAATCAGATGATGTTACAGAGCGGATGGCTGGCAAAAAAAAAAATACCCTTTGGAGAGAGGGCTGGTTTAAGGAGCAGAGGCTGTTGGTGAAGTGAGCAGCTGCTTGATCTCTTCCCACGCTGTAATTCTTGCTCCTAGAACACTGATTTCAAATGGTGCTAGATACAAAGTGGGAAAATCTAAGCCACCATGTGAAACCAGCTTCCAGAGGAAGACACATCTCGTGCACGGCTGCGGGCTGAGGGAGAAAATCCTTCATCTCCACCGTACCTAGAGAAAAATTCATTGATTTAATTGGATTAGACAGCGAGACAGTTAACTTGGGGGTAATTTCTTTATGGACACACGTTTGTGAATGGCTGAGGCTGGTGTAGGAGAAGTTAAATGTGATGAAGAAACCTCCCCAGCCTGGCAGTGACTGTTGTTTCCTTTCCTGGCCAGGTGGAATGCACTGAAATTCTTACCAGCAATAGTGATACAGGTTTCATTTCTTTGTAGTGATGGGGTGTGTGGGGGAAGTGTGTGTTGTACAGAAACACTTTTTCCATGCAGATGCAACCAGGCTATAAACCTCATTCAGACAGAGTGTTCTGGCTTTCTATCACTTACTGATCTCGGCATCATCAGAGAGGACAAGGCCACATCAGATGGTTTTTGTGACAAGGAAAGGAAATGTGACTGTCCTGATGGAACTTCCTCTGTCAGCTGTCTCACGTGGCCTGTAAATTCTTTTAAATAAGCAAGAACTCGGCAGGTTTTTGTGGAAAAACTTTTTAAATTCTGCAGGGACAGTGAAAATAAATTGGGATTGAAAGTGCTTTGAGTGTGGGTCAGAACAAAAAGGCAGCATTCATAAATCCGACTTGCAGAGGGTTCAGTGAAGTTGTTGAGGAAGGGGGAGAGTCTGCAAATGGGTGGCTGATGGTTCCTGGAGCTGGAATAGGTGTGAGCAGTGGTGTCCATGTCTCAGTGCAGAGGGAATAGCTGGAGTGTCAGGCAGCCTGTGAACCACACAGGAGCATAATTTGGGAGCTGCCAAACCCCGGCCACCATGTGTGACCTGTGCTGGTGCAGAAGCTGATGTAAGATGGAATCAAGCGTGGCAGAACTGGATTTGGGTGTTTCACTCATGGATGCCCCCGGGGTTTTGGCAACACCTTGTATTAATTTTGTAACCACATCCAGAAAAATGTGCTCTGCTGCCTCCATCCCAATGCACACTCACAGGCAGGAGAGGAAAGGCTCAGAGAAAGGATGTCCTTCCAAGAAAGAGGGGTGGAGGAAGGGGAAAGAGCTGTACTAGATTACTGTGTCTGGATATTTACTGTAGTTTCTAAATCCATTATCTGGGGCAGCAGGGTGAAAGACAAGTGGAAAGCAGGTTCCCTCCCCAGTGTCTGTCGTGCTGGCACAGTTATTTATGAGGCACCCTCTATTATCAGGTGAGATTTACTCCTGAAAAGCTGGACCAAGGGTTGCTGCTGCTGAAAGGTTGCAGCACAGATCACAGAATCACTGCAGCGTCTTTGAGAAACAGGTTCAAAGTGAGGGTTGCTTTGGTTTTTATCCTGTCTCAGTAGTAAGCATTAAAAAGAAATCTTTATCAGGATTTTCAAAAGCAGTTGGGGGAAATTTCACTTAATTCTGTGCTGCTGAAAACAGGAGCTTCTGTTGAAGTATGAGACTTACAGGGACTGAACACCTAAGCCCACCTTCCCCTCTCCAAAGGAGACTAACCTTTGCAGAAATACTGTGCAGCAGTTGAAGACCAATAGCTCATTTATTATTTACAGTTTTGATAAAACCAGGTTTCACTTCAGCGTAATTAAGATGCTGCTGGCCCTCCTCCAGGCTACCTGAAGTTTCTCCTGTTGCCTTAACGAGCTCCCCAGAAGGTGTCAGCCCATTTTGCCAAGGTGCAGGTACACATTTTGGGAAGGATACATCTGTGTGTGTTCTCCTTCCAAAGCTAACAGCATGTTTGGGCAGGCAGCAGGCAGAGAGGAGGAGAAAAAGAGCAGTTCAGGATGCTGTGATACACAGCACCTGACTGGGAATATGTGCATGTGCAGGGAAATAGAATCACAGGATGCTTTGCTTGGAAGGGACCTTAAAGCTCTTCTTGTTCCACCCCCTGCCACGGGCAGGGACACCTTCCACTGTCCCACGTTGCTCCAAGCCCCATCCAACCTGGCCTTGGACACTCCCAGGGATGGGGCAGCCACAGCTTCTCTGGGCAACCCGTGCCAGGGCCTGCCCACCCTCCCAGGGAAGAGAATAAACCAGGACTTGCCTCAAGCATTTGCTGGTTGTGTTGTACATGTGGACACACGTGTGGAGACAGGCAAATACTGTCAGTTGACTTAGTCAAAGTGGTCTGGAGTTTTCAGTAAATAATAGTAGGAGAAGTACACTATTGTGGTTCTGGGCTTTCCCTCCTTTTCAGATGTTTTGGTAGCAGGGCCCTTCTTTCAGAGGAGCATCTCAAAGCCTTTCACGGACTTCACACTGTTTTACACATCTATAGGACACAAAGGCAGAAAGGGCCTTCCCTGTGAAAGGGAACTTCCTTTCTAGCCTAAGACCTTTAGTCTGCAGGAACAAGGCAAGCCTGGATGTCACAGGCTTGATTTTTCACAACCTGCACCTTTTAAATGCATTTCTGGGGCATTTACAGTAAGGGAAACCGATTTCTGTGTGACCCTGAGTGCACCATAGATTTTTTTTCCCTCCCTTTTCAAATCACGGGGTGAAACTTGTGGTTCCTCAGACTCTGCTCTCCCCTGGAGAGAAATATTCCTGTTTTACATGCAGAAAGGCTGAGCTTGATGCATCATCCTCCCAGTGAAGGAATGAGTCAGCCCAAGGCCAGGTGTGGGACGGAGGGGTGTGACAGTACAAGTGGTGACCTGTAAGGGGAGTTGAAATGAGTGAACTTCTAAGGTTTCAAAAAAAAAAAAAAAAAAAGCTTCCTGAGCCCGGGGGAGCTTGTAACTGCATCTGTTTGTTGTGCAGGTCTGGTGCTGTGTGCTGCTGCCTGGGTCAGGTGTGGACAAATGTGCCTTAACTTGCAGCCTGAGCCAGGCCTGAGTCTGTAACGCTCTGCGGGTCAGCAGCGCTGGCCTGGGCTGAGGAAAGGCAGAGGAGATGCTGCACTGCTTAGAAAAGTTGATGCTTGTGACTAGAAATGGCTCTGGAGATGCTGCTGCTGCTGTTACGGGCAACAAAGACATGTACTTCTCTCGAGAGTTTAAAGCATAATGGAGATTTGATTTTTTTCTTTCCCCTGATTGGGATCACAATAAAAGCTCTGCATTACAGTCATGAGTTGAACACAGCCTGTTCCTTTAGTCCTACTATTGCAGCCTTACAGCTGTAGTATGAATAGGGGTTTGGGGTGAGGGTTTTTCTTTGCTTGTTGGCTTTTCCAGATAATCTTGGGCAGGTCAGGTGGTGGGGAGTGTCCATGATGGCTGAAATTTGGCTTGTGATGAGGTCTGAGAGGTGCATCTTAGCCCTGAAGACCCACTGGTGGGGGGTTAACTCTTGCTGCTCTGACTGAGTTGACAGAGCTCATTCCCAACGTGGGTTTGGTGCCATCCAGGATTTTCCAATGCTGAGCCACGTCTGGCAGTTGGCATTGACAGACAGGAATTGGGGGCTTGGATGCAGCAAACCTCATTTTCAGGGCAAGATAATTCAACACTAACAGACCCAGGCACTCTGGGTGATGTGATGGACCACACCAACCTTCATTTTATGGTTCTGCCCTGCTGATCCATGCTTTCTGTGGTGCATGGGTCTAAAAAGGAGGCTAAAAAACAGTGCAAGAGACCTTTAATTTGTGGATTACAGCTCTTTTGGAGAAACCTGGTGATAGCTCATAGCAGAGCAATATCACTAAAATAATCAGGATTTATTCACAAGACCTGTTGTGTTTTTTAAATCCCAGACCTTTGGTTCAGACTCCTAACTATGTGTAACATTTTATTTGCTATTGCTTGTCCCAAAACTGTTCTGAACTGGAGGGAGCAGTTTTAGCATGGTGATCGTTCTAGGTGTGCTGAGATATTATTACTGCAACAGTTCCTGATCTTGTGATTCCCCTCTGCTCCTCTGAAATTGCTGTGACTTGTCTGGAGTCATAGTTTTGCTCCACCTTTCCTTGGGAAACCCACAGCGTGTTAGGAGGGCACAGGAACTGCTGAACCTCTGGGTCCTGGGTAGGATTTCAGATTTCACGAGGAACAATGAGGTGAAACCAGGCAAACTCACACAGGGGAAGAAGAGCATTGCACTTACATGGCTGAGGTCGGGGAAGAGCAGTAGGAAAATACAGCCATGAAAACTCATCGAATTTAGAGCCCCACACAGCTTGAGTGAGCAGCACATTACAAAACTAACTACGCTCAAAGCAATGATCCTCCTAAGGAGCTGAAACCAGGAAAGCCATTTTCTATTCCTAACTTCTGTACCTAAGCATCACCTTCGAATATAAAGTATTGATTGCAGGGCTTGAGAGCAGTCACAGGGAGATGATTGCTGTGATTTGTATAGTCAGTTCAGGAACACGGTGTTCCCCCAAGGCCACCATTCCAGCTCCTTTAGGTAATGTCAAGGGAAGTAATATTTTTCTTTTGTGTCGTTCAAGAGACAAAAGAATGTCCTGTGCCAGTGAGGAGCATAAGGAAACAAATACTGCCAGATGTTCACTGAAGTATAACCTGCCTTTAAACCAGATATTTGAAAACAAGCCTTTAGTTCAGCACTGTCTGCAGTAGAAGGACCTGGCAAAACAGCCAGAGAAAAGCACTGACCAAACCCCTGACTGACTCCCCTGAGCTGCTGATTTGTACCTGTTCCCAGGATTTCCAGCACTCTATCACTGAAAATTTCACTGTATGTTTGGGAATATTTAAGAAACATTTGAGCTCTACAGCCAAATCCAAGCCCTGTGGCGGCTGCTGCTGGACTTGTGTGCACCCCCGTGAATGTTTGTGTGGGGAGCTCAAGAGATGTGCTCAACTCAGAAATAGCTCTATTCCTTGGAAAGCTGGAGGGCTGAATCACACTGTGTTGGCTCAGTTTTTAGCAGACAAGCCATCACATATGCCTCCCTGTAGGCGAAGAGTCGTCACTGGCATCAGGATTAGCAGCCAGGTTTTTACCTTTGGAAACCAGGGAATAATGACACAGAAGGCTGAGGCTGATTGTGAGGAGGCTGCCCAGGGCTGGGGGCTTGGGGAGGTGGGTTGGCAACACTGGGAGCGGGAAGGGTCTGCTCGTGTCCCTGCTTGGCCTGCTCTGCCCCCTCTGTTCGAAAGGAGCCAGATAACATGCCCCCAAATTGAACTTTGGGCACTAAATAAATTACTTTGCTCAGAGGCATTAACCACTCCACTGCTGCCTGTGAAGCTGAGACAACTCGAGCCAGCCCTAAGCACATCCACGGCCAGTGCTGTCCTGAGGCCACTGAAAATAAGAGTGACAAACAGTGGACAAATAGGAACACTGGAGAAAAATGTGGAAACCTGGGAGGGGACAAGACAGCTCCTGAGCTGAGGTACCTAAAACTGAAAGCACCAGGGAGACACCACTGGCCTGGGAGACACTGGTGAACTTAGAAAGCCTGCAGAGTCCACCTGCTAACGAGCACAGAAATGCAAATATACACAGACACTTTTTTTCTTCTGGAACAGAGTCTATCTCCTTAAACTTAACATGCCACTGCTGATTCCCAGCAGTCCAGAGGAAGTCTTGGGGGAAAAGGGGATGAGAGAAGTAGTGCAAACTTTTTGAAGTTTTGGAGGAAAAGGGGATGAGGGAACTAGTGCAAAGTTTTTTGCAGTTAGCACAAGAAGCAAATTACAGATAGGGATTTTAAAATGCTTCAGAGACACGGGATTTTTTTGGAGCTACAGTTTTGGGCTCAGTAGTCCACTACTGCAGTAATGCTAATTATCAAGCTCGGGATTCGAGCACTGCCACAGATGCAAGAAAAGTGGATTGGGAGTTCCTGAACCAACTGGTTGCTGACCATGAGTCAGGGGAATGACCTTGCAGCAGGCAGCTCGCGGTGCCGCTCTCGGAGCCGTGCCAGTATAAACGGCACTGGCATCTCTGAGTGCTGGTGGAACCATTTTGTGAGCTTGAGAGTCCAGCCTGGCCTTTTCTACTGCTGCCTTTGCACTGAAACGTTTGGGTGGCTGAGAATGAGCCAGAGGAGTCCCTTCTCATTTTGTAATGAGGGCATCTTCACAACCTGGGCTTGGGACTGTCTGTATCCATACGCAGATATATAGAGGATGTGGACAACTATCTCTTGCCTATGTACTTGTTCATTAACATCAGCGTTACAGCTGTTTCCCAAATTAAATCTTACCCTCTCCCCCAGTCACACCCATACTAAACTATAAGAAAACACCGTGATTAAGTTTTAAAAAACATACACGGCACCACTGAATTTTCTGGGAGTGATTTGTGAGAGGAGTGAGGGTAGAATACTTGGCATCTGGTCATTTTAATTAATCTTCCCAAATAAGAAAAACATTTGCTTGTAGACTTTAAGCTTCTCACGGCATCAGGAAAGCTCCTGACACCGAGCCCAACGCTGTATTTGTATAACATGGAAATGAACAGCAGCAGCAGCAGCAGCAGAGCTGCAGGCTCCGAGTCTACTCTGCGAGCGACAAAATGGCCAGGGGTGCTGTTGTGTTCATCCGAATCCCTTCGCCATTTGGGGCCGTGAAATAGGTGGATCCAATGCCCCTGACCCTTCAGGTATGGTTTGAACTTGTAGCATCAATATTAAATTGATGTTTCTAACCATGTTCGAGCTCGTGCCCTCATCAGCCTCGCTCCCTAAAGCACAGACAGGAACGAACAGCAAAATTCGTCTGCGTCACAGATGTAACATGACCATCGGCAAAACAAGTGCAAGGGGGAGATCGTGGCTGTCTCGTCACTCACAGAGCCTTCCTCCACTAGCAAAGAATAGGATGGTAATGCATTTAAGTAAGTTCACATCGTGAGCATTTGCAATCCCGAACTTCCTCGCCCGAGTTTTCGCGGCCCTTGAGCGGTCAGAACGGCCGAGAAAACTGCGTGTGTTTTGCCAGCGAGGGCCGGCGCGTTAACGAACGCTGCGTCAGTGCTGCACCGGGGCCGAGGCACGCAGCAAACCCCGCTGCCCAGAGCAAGGAAACCCAGACACACGCAAAAATGAATCAGCTTAACACGGTGGCACACACACACGAGTGTCGGAGGGAGGAAGGAATCACAGCTTTCCCGAGCTGTTTTGTGGCAATACCCAGAAAAGGATAATGGAACAGTTAGCCACGTACAGCTCACGGCGACAGTGCCGCCCCTGTGCACGCAGTCACTGCTGTCCTACAGAAATATGCCATGTCCCCTTCTTAGCCTTGTTTCTTGCCAGTCCCACAGATTTACCTGCTGACAGTAACCTCAATTCCTGAGTAATGAGATTTACAGCTGAAGTTTAACATTGAAATAACTCCTCTTTTATCTGTGTCTCCTTACCCTCCCTGCGTTCAGCCGCAGTTAAACTAACTGTGGCCAAAAAAAATGGTGGCAAAGGGAATTTAATCAGGTACACCCCTGCACTGAACACTGAACCAGCTGCCAGTGGCACCTCCTCTAAAGCCCTGAGAAATGTCACGAAGCAGCACTAGCTTTACAAATTACAGGGTCCTCCACCCCACAACTGTGACGGGAAAACCACAAAGAGTTGTCCATGCAGCCAACACTCAGGAAAAAGAGACTCAACCCACCCGTCTTCCACACAACCAAGCAGTCATGGCTTAGTCCAGCTCCCGGCTGTACAGAATTCCCTCCACAGCTGCCTGGGACTGTTCCTGCATGTGTGTGTGTATTTATGCCTGTCTGTCTCGCTGCAGGGACCACCGTCGTCGCTGCTATTCCTGTTGTTCCCCTGCTCTGCGGATCTGGCGCTGCAGGAGGCAAGGATGCTCCAAGGGAGCCAGCTACAGCCAGCGAAGGCTCAGTGAGTCAGGAGGGGTTGTGACGACTGCAGTAAGAGTCTGAAATTCCCTACGGAATCTGGCAGAAAAGGAGGGGAAGGAAGAAAGGTGGAGATGGGGAAAGAGGGGAAGAAAAGTGGGGAGTGGCACGTGGTGCCTGTTTGGTTCTTCCCTCCCCGTTCCTACCACCGCAGTGCCGTTGGAAATGGCGTCCTCCCCTCCGCGGAACTGCGCAAAGGGACGGAGTCGGCGAGAAAACCGCAGCGCCTGCGGCCTGTGCCACCAAACCCCCCAAATTCGGTCGGGGTGGGGCGTATGGTGGAAGTACAGCCCTTCTCTCTTTCCCTCAGAGCACCGTGCAGGGGACAGGCTACAGCTGAAGTGATGGAGACGGCGGGCGCGCTGTGTCTGAGCCGGTTCCGAGCCCAGCGGTTGTTGCTAAACAACCAGCCCTGACGCTTGAGATGTCAACGAGTGAGTAATATAGATTAAACGCTTATGCTATCACATCCTTAAAGTTGTTTAAGCCTCGGGATGATGAAAGGCTATGGAATAATGTTCCCTGCCATATGAGAAAGCAAAGTTACCACTCCACTGCATAATCGGGAGACTTCCTCGGCCAGAAGGACCAAGCTCAAGGCTGGTTGTGTCCTCAGCACTTCCAGGCAGAGCTGCCATCTTCATTGCTGGTCACTTTAAGAAGAGAGGTGAAAAAATAGTATTGTAAATGGTTAAGAGAGAAAAATGTTCTCCCCTTCATTTCCTCGTCCTCTCTCTGGAGCTGCTCTCTGCCCTCAGTCTCCCGTTCATCCTGACCCAATCCTTCCTGATCCTTCGGTCCTTGGTTTCTAACGCTGTTGTTGCCTTTGCAAACCTTTACAGACCCATCACGGAGGGCAGTCCTGGCTCTCCCTGACATTACCGAGCCTGTGGCAAGCTCACCCTTGTGCAAACAAAAGCCGAGTTTGGGCAGGAGTCGTTTTCGCTTCTTTAACTGTTCCCACGACATAATTTTCAGGTGCAATCCCTACCCCAAGCCATCACAGTCCTGCTAACGCTCAACCACTGTCTGAGGGAGAAGAAGGCAAAGGAGAAAAGCCCCAAACCGCAGCACTTTCCCTTCCGCCATGGTCTGCAGCTCTGACACGTCATCGTCGCGAGCGGACGGCGGAACGACACCTCGGGGAGCACCCCTGGATGTGAGGGCTGGCACCCACCACCTCGAGGAGTTACCCAGCTCCTGCCTGCCTGTGCCCGAGGGACACCTGGAATCCTGAGATACGAGGTGGGCAGGGAGTGGTGGGCAGTGGGCAGGGAGGAGGGAGCGAGCAGGAGGCAGGGAGAGGGCAGAGAGCGGGCAGCAGGCAGGGAGCAGCAGAGAGGGAGCAGGCAGTGGTCAGCAGTGGGTAGGGAGCAGCAGGCAGGGAGCGGGCAGCAGGCAGCGGTGGGCAGGGTGTAGGGGGTAGGCAGGGAGCAGGCAGTGGTGGGCAGGGAGCAGGCAGGGAACAGCGAGGCAGGGAGCAAGCAGTGTGGACAGTGAGCAGGGAAGGGGCAGTGGGCAGGGGGCAGGCAGAGTGGGCAGCGGGCAGGGAGCAGGCAGGGCACGGGCAGCTGCCGGTACTTTGAAGCAAGTGAAATCAACGTCGGGGTTTGACACCCAGCCCTCGGCCAATCCGGGAGGGCTTTTCACCTGCCATCACCTCCTCCGCCAATGGCGCGGCGGCTCCGGGCCCAGAGCCCTCCCCGGCCAATGGGGAGCCGGCTCCGGCACTTAGTTAATGATGCAGCAGTACAGGGAAGACTATCACATGTGAGCTGGCCGCCTGCCAGCATGGAGACACCGAGAGAGCAAGGTAAACAACTTTCCAACGCCAAAATGATGACATTTAATCCCTAAATGCTCGCTTCCCGTCTCGACTCATCTTTAACCCCTTTCAGCTGGTGTGGAAGCGTCTGGAAGGCACCGTCTACCTGTCCCCCCCAGTGCTTTTAAAAACTGGACGACATGCCCTGCAATGATCACTGCGTCACCGTTTGCCACTTTCCGAACTACGCAGTGACAAACCTCCGAGCTCGGAATCGCAGGGCGCCTGTTAACCCCTCCACCAAACCCTCGCCAGCATGCCAGCCCTCAGGGAGACGGGGGAGAATAAAAAGCCCAAACAAACCAGGCAAACGGCAGTCTTTGCAAAGTTGTCATCTCTCCCCCACGACTACTACCCTCCTCTGCAGTACAGCAATGCCGGCAGGAGTGACATTAGTACAACCTGTGCCGTCGTTCCATTGAGAAAACAGCTCTGACGCAGAACAGAGCAACCATACCCAGCCAAAATAATAACACAGGCACTTCGGGATCCGAACTTGGGGGACGCCGGGGGTGAGGGACGCCCTGCCAGCAATTAAAAATCCGTGGCTGCAGCTCCAGCCCCATCCTGATCAAAGGGTACGTACGTGAGGAAGGCGAACCGGACCGAAGAGCTGTGCCCGTGCACCATCTGCGCAGTCCTCAGCCCTCCGCTCGCTGTGGAGCGCCGCAGAAGAGAAGGTTCCAGAAATTTCCTTTCTGTTAACCCTTTTGGTGTCTGCCCACTCTCCCTCCCCGCGGGATTAAGCGCGCCGGGTCTCCAGCATCGTCAATGGGCGAAGCCTCCTACGCCAACCGAGCCCGAGTACGACGTCCAGGTGACAGTGGATGGTGGCAGGAGCCCAGCCCGTGGTGTTGGTGGTACTTCTCTTCCTGGAGCCCTCTCTGTCTCTCTTGCTGCCTCTCTCCCCTCTTGCTGCAGCAGGGCTGTTGCTGGTAGACCTATCGACGGAGCTTGCTCTCTCACTCTCTCGCTGAGCTCTGTGACGCAGCTCTAAATTCTCCAGCCTGCTCCCTGTGTTATAAGAGCGGAACTGCAGCTTTCCAGGGAGCCCGTGCCAGCGGTGCCAGGGCCAGGCAGACCGGAGGGAGCGTCGCTCCTGGACTCTGCACCTTTTTTTGGCAATTATTCTGTTGCTCACCTCTTGTTTCTGTGCTGCCTCCACGGCTCTCAGCCTCGCATCTCCTGCTCTGCTTCTGAGTCATACTTACCAGGTTAACTCTTTTAGGATTGGTAGTCAGCAATACAAATCTCGAGCGAGAGCAGCTGAAACCACGGCCAACTTTGTGGTGGTTTCTGCTTTAAAAAAAACCAAAGCAAATCTTCTTGGCTCTAAAAAAACAAAAACACACACACACACACGCACGCACACACACGTTCCAGTGGAGAGTTAGTGCTTTTTGGTTAACTGTTTCGGTGACAGGAACCATTACTCGAGTTCCTAAAATAAAATATTTTAGGCCTACGTCCTGCAAATCCTCAGCAGGCAGATACCCTGAAGCACAAGGCAGCTTTAAAGGAGCTGCTGCTGTGGGTAAACGCAGGTCTTCTGGGCAGGAGGCTACTGCTGGCCCCACGAGACCCTGCTCTGCTGGCCACAAGACATTGATCTGAACGTGGTTCAGCTGCTGGGCAGATGCGTGGTGTGAGATAAGGCACTGAAAGTGCCATAACGCTACAGGATCTTCTTAATCTGAGCAGTATTAATAAGTGTTATCACACACACAGATTCAAAACGCTCGGCGTAGGCAGGGGAACTAATAACTGCGTTCCTGGAGTCACCAGAATCCAATAATCCCCGACAAAGACAGTCCACAAGCAGCTCTGTATTTCAGCACAGCAGGCGTCACCAGGCAAGAGACATCTTGCAGCTGAGCACTCTCTCCTTGCCTCTGCCCCCCAAATCCCTCACATTAACTCCGGTGCCTCCAGTCAGGTTCAGCACCAGGCAGGGATAGCAGAGCTCTCCCGGTCTGTAGCCTCAAAGCTGGCGAAGTGTGGAGGAGGATCCGTGGTGGGTGCAGCTCCTGGGGATCAGAGGAGCTAATGGAGAGGCAGCACCGTGTGAGGGAGTTCATGTGCCGGCCTGTGTACACAAAAGAGCCAGGCAGCGAGTCCTTTGGAAAACACAGAATCCAGGGAGAGATCCCTGCTCCACACCTACATCTGCCATTTTAATTCCGACTTCAGAGCCGGCTGCGAGCGTTGGGTTTTTCACTACAACCAAAGCTGAAATAACCACTATTTTTTCCCTTCGCAGCGTCTGAAGAGCCTGAGCTATTTTGGGATTTGTCTGTACTACACTGAAAATGACACCTGTTACGCACAGACACAAATGAGAAGAATTACAAGCTCCTGGTTCCTCAGATGTGATTCTGCAGAAAATGGAATGAGATCCTGCGAGGCAGGGACCTGGGAGAGCAGCACAGGCAGTGCTGTGGGGTGAAGGGGATGACCCCGGTGAACTGAACAGCCAGACACCAGTACAAAAAAATATAAAAAGTCTGTTGGAGCTGATGCAAGGGGAAATCAAGCCTCCATGTGACCAGAAGAAGTAGTGCATGATCAACTAAATGCCACAATACATGGTTTCTTATGCAATCAAACCCATGGGAGTTCAAGCCTTGCACATACACTTTGTGGCCAGAGCTGCGAGGATTAACTCCTTCGGTTAACAACGGCGAGAGCGCCCGGCTCCTGAAATGAGTCACCCTCGCTGAAGTAGGCCAGTGTTTGCTGCCATGGGAAGCTGCCTGTGCTGGTTTCAGTTACCCCCCTGAGTTATCTCAGAAGCTCCAACGTGCAGGGTCAGGGCGGATTTTCCACGTTCCCCGTTTTCCCCGCTGGTTTGCACCGCCCCAGCTCTGTGCAGGCAGAGGGGCCACCTCGCTGGACCCACCAGCACCACGGAGCTCTGAACGTGACTGAGCGAGGTAAAAAACACTTGGAGCCTCAGGAAGGGGACAGCTGACTGGTGCTTTTAGCTCCCAGCGGTTTTATCAGTCGTGTGGTGTATTAAGAAGGTAAAATGAAGCTTTGATTTATTTGAAATTACCTCTTTTTGGTTGCTTGCATGGGAAAGGTGGCATGCATCTTATGGTTTGCTTTCATTTGAAAATCTCCAATCCTGAGGAATGTTTCTACCTTTACCTGGCTGTGAGTACCTTCTGGTGGCACTCAGGCTCCCAAGAAGACTCAAAGCCAACACTGCCCTGTGTGCAACTAAGTGTGTAACTAAGAAGACCTGGCACAGTGGAAAACTTCAGCACTTGGAACTGAGTAAAGAGGTCCCAAAAAAATTAAAGTCATGTTCTGGCGCTGTTTCTGTAAAGAAATAGAGGCCATCATTCCATAGTAGAAATTTAGTCTGCTTTTCAAAGTGGAGCCCACATACTTATTTTCGACTTTTTGCCTTTTTTTTTTTTTTTTTTTTTTCCCCTCCAAAGTCTAAAAGCAGGAAACAGAGCTTTGGTTTTGTAAAAACTGCCTATGAGGGTGCAAAGTCCTGGGCTAGAAAGCAAGCTTGGTAAATGGAAATATTCCACAGCCACGGTTGGAAGCAGAATGATCAGTATCACCGTGTGAATGGCAGTGTGAGAATCCATTCCAAAAGGAGGGCTCGCAGCTGATCACAGCTGGGCCATGGGTTAAAAAAAAAAATAAAAAAACTTTTTATAGTGTAGGCACTGTAACAAGATTTCACAACTTGTAACTGCAGCGCTTCAGGCTGGATGTCGGGGGGAACATTTTTTCTTGAGGAGCGTGGGAAGGATTGGAACCCCCCAGACACCAAAAGCCTGCTGTCATTGACAAGAAGGATCAGGGAGCAATTCCTCAGTGAGCACAGGAAGTGTGGGCTTGCACTGCTTCTGGGCCAAACTGTACCTAAAGGTTCATCCTCAGTTCTCCGGCGTCTCCCGTGCCGTTCTCTGCTGTCACACTGCGATGACCTTAATAGCAATAACACATGGAGGCTGACATTCCAAACATCTCCCCCTCTCCTGCACATCACTGTTGCTCTGGTGGGTGATAAAACAACCTCTGCCATCCACTGAGGAAGGCCCTTGGTCTTTTTCACGATGAAGGAAACCCTCGTGGTCCTGCCCCGCGCTTCCAGCTTCCTGCTGGCGAAGCCTTGGCTCGGCTCGCGGATTAAATGCCATCGGCCACACCTTCCTCCACTGCAGGAAACACATTGTTAAAATCAGGGCATGTTCCTGTTTAACTAAAAGGCTGAGATAAATAATCCAAAGGCCCCGATTATGCCAAACAAATTCCTGCCCGAGACGCAGCAAGCCCGGGCAGCTGTAAATCTGTGACCCCTCGGCCTCGGCATCCACGTAAGTGACGTCTTGGCACATCAGCAGGGGAGAGGCTGGGGATAAAGGGAGGGAGCCAAGAGTCGGGCAAAGGTGGACGGGGAGAATGGAAAAGTTCCTTCCCTTGAGCAATCTGGAGTCCGAAAAGTTGCTTTAAAATGCAAACTAGTCCGTTTTTCAGGTGTTGATGTAGGGAGGGCTCTTTTTTTTAAGACCTTTTATTTGTCAGCCTTACAAAGAACTCACCACCTCTGTGAAATGACTGTTTCCAACAAAATTCTGTGTCGGCACAGAATTCTCAGCCAGCTCCATTCAGGGAATACCATCAGAAACAGGGACGTGTAGCCCATCTGCCAGGACTATTTCCCCTAAGCCTCACCGATCAGAGGGTAGTTAATTTTTAAATTTTTCTTTCGACTGTTGAAATAAAAAAAAATCATCCTTTAAAAAACCCCATAATTAACTCTTTGCTGCGGCAAAACAATTGTCTGCATTGACCAGGAATAAAGTAATTTTAGTTGTTGCTTGGGGAAACTGGCAAGTTTTTCATGTTTTCTTTTTAAAATCAATATAATTTTGCATAAGGGAAGGCTGAGTAAAATAAAGGTTAAATAATTTGACCCACGTTGTATGTGGGATCAGGGTCAAAGCTGACAGGGCGTTCCTTGCTCCCAGATTTTATTCAAGTTATAGTCCTTATTCAATTATAGTTCTTTATTGTCCAGAAGGCCCCCAATCAATTGAGACAGAAGCTGCTGGAACAGCCTGGCTTTGGGAGGAAATGGATAAGGAATTATTTCAAGGGGACTCTTTCAGTTTTCAAAGCAAAGCAGAAATAAGACTTTGAAGCCTTCCTTCTATTTTCACGTGTACATAGAGAACAACAGATAATTCATGGTCTTTTAGTGCCACCCTGACAGGCACCAGGACATGCAGATTTCCAGGGAAGTAGAGACTCGGAATTCCAAAATAGGAATATTTGCTAACACAGCAGCCTGAGTCCACGAAGGGATATTTTTTTACAGTGTTTTTTCCCACTGTGACAGGAGGAGAAAAGCTACAGAGTCACAACAAACATTTAGTTTTTTTCCAAAAGGTTTATTGTTTTCCAGACAAATTCAATTAGTGAATTCCAGACCTGTGGCCAGTGAGACCTTTTCTCTGCCAGCCCATAAAATCACAGAATCCCAGAATGGTTTGAGGGGGAAGGGACCTTAAAGCTCATCCCATTCCACCCCCTGCCATGGGCAGGGACACCTTCCACCAGCCCAGGTTGCTCCAAGCCCCTTCCAACCTGGCCTTGGACACTTCCAGGGGTGGAGCAGCCACAGCTTCTCTGGGCAATGTGTTCTTCTTGGAACATGCTGTTGCTCTTGCTGGGGTCCCAACCAGCAGGAGGAAGAGCTGCAGGCAGATAAATAGCAGTAAACCCCTTCTCAAACAGTTTTAAAGCTGGTTCCGTGCGTCTGCTTGGGTGTGCACAGCTGACACTGCACCGGGAGCAGGGTGGGGGGTTCATAGTCCTCTCTGGGGGGTGGTTCAAGGGAATTGGATGGAACAGCTGGTGCTGAGATCAAAAGCCCTGCGAAGCCAGAGGTGTGGGTTTGTTTCCCAAGAGCTGTCGGGGATGTGCTGGCGTGGATGTGTTGGCATTGGGGAGTCACATTTGCATAAAGCGTTTGCATTCTCAGTGCAAAGCCAGCCCACGCAGCAAAGCAGGCTCTGAAATGGGAGCCTGCAGGTGAAAACCTGGCCCCTCCCTTTGAAAACCTGGAATTTACCCTGTGAAGTCTAAGAAACTTCCAGCTGGAAAAGCCGGGATCCTTTTCAAAGAGATGGCACCGCATTAACACGGGGGCCGCTTCAAAGCAGAGCTGTGTGGAAGCCAGGTTCAAGTTATTTGGGATATTCAGCCCCCAGCTCTGCCCTGGTCGCTGTTTTCAGCATTCCTGGTGGGAACAGCAGCGCTCTCCGGACCCCCCGGCCGCTCCTTCCCAGCGCTGGGAGAGGCCGCGAGAGCAGCTCAGGCTCCGCAGGTTTTACTCCGCTCCAAACCTGAGGAGCCAAGAGCGCTGAGACAAAAGGAATTATTTCAGCTATTAGCTGCTAAGAATAGAGCCGGCGGGGGTGCTGAGGTGCCTGACAGCGCAGCCGGAGGAGCAGGGATTGCAGTGGGAGCACGGAAATAGCCCTTCTCCACGCTCAGCGCTCGGGAGCTTCATGAGTCACTCAAGCGCCCGGGCGGGGGGACAGGTGGGGTGCGGAGGATCCAACAACCCTGCCCGTGTCCGGAGCAGGACGTGCCCCTGGGCTGTGGTTTTGGGGGAGGCTCTTTTTTTCCCTAAGGGGAGCATCTTCCCAATCCCGGGGCCATGGACCACCCACGGGAGAGCACGAGTGGTGCGAGGAGAGCTCCCACCACTGCCCTGCTCTCTGCTTAAAGGTCCCACTCCCCTTCCCGGGGGACGTGTCTCCCCAGGGCCACTCCTGCCGCTCTCGAATATTTGCAAAAGCCAAACATTCCCGGGGAGGGGGGGGAAGGCAGCGGGGCCGGAGGAGTCTATTGATGTCGATCCAACTGTGTTCCAGGGTGTTTCCCTAAGTGCTAATCACGAAGTTCCCTTTGCAAATACATCATAAAAGGTTAAAGACCCGGGCAGCAGATTATTTAAATGCGGGGCCAGTGACTGAGGAGGTGCTCAGGGATGTCTTTAACATCTTGTCCTGATGCCATTTAGCACAAATCCTATTGGTATCACTGTGTGTTTTTATCCAATATAGCTTGGAAGAGGCAATTTTCCTTCTGTGCTGTTTGTGCAGCCCAGGGTACAACACATTCCTGATCTATGACGAGGTTTCCAAACTCCATAGTAAAATGAATAATAATGATAGTAAACGTTGTATAACTTTTTTTTTTTTTTTTAATACAGCAATCTTTGTATTACTTCAGTGCTGGATTTTCCAGTTATTACACGTGGGCAAAAAAAAAAAAAGCTTCTTTTTTTTTTTTTTTTTTTTAACTGCTGTATCCACACAAAGCAAAAGAGAAAAAAAACCCAAAATCAAGGATTAAAAGAAAATCTTTGTATATCAGTGCTGGGTGCCACCGCAGAAAAAGAGTCGAGCTGGACGGAATTAAACATCTCAGCTGGAGCGTGGACAGGGCAGCAGACAGCCTGCTAAAAATAGATTAATCCTAATTACGGCCACACTTCTGCTTTTTCCAGGTTTCCCGTTTCACGTGGGGGGCATGGGAGGCTGTGAATGGAGAGGGGGATCGGTGCCCGCTGTGGGAGCAGCGGGGTCAGGGGGCACTCGCTGCCCCTTATTGCATAACCCTGGAACACGGAGTCCTGGGAGGGAGCGCCGGGAATGACGGCAGTGCCCCGGCCTTCGGCTCCAGCTGATCAGCACAGGCTTAACTCAGTGCCTGGCCTGCAAATCTGCTCCCCACACTTAACTAAACCTCTGGAAAACCGGGTTTCAGGTACCGTGCGCTTTGCTGTTCTACAGGTTTAAACCTCACCACCCTCCTGGCTCCCTGAGCCACCGGAGAGCGTGTCCTGTGCCAGGGCTGCTGGCGTGGTTAAACCCCCGGAGCGGGGCCGTGCCATAAATCCCTGCTGCTTTTATTTCCTCCTGGACAACGTTCCCACTCGCTGCTCCTCACAGGCAGAGTTACAAAATGTCTAGCACGAAATAAACATATTTAAGCCTCTGTTTTGCAAACTCCGCTGGTTTATTTCTCCCGTCGAGTCCACGAAACTATGGCAAACAACTATTTTCCCACCCTAAAGGAAGTATGTTAATTACCAATTTAAATATTTAGCCATAAAAATGTATCGCTTCAGCTACAACAACTTAAGTTTTGTTTAATCAGAAGCCAGGAGTGAATTCTGTGGGCTTGCTTTTCGTTCCTGTGGCAGTAACCAAGCACTCCTCCGATACCTTGGGTTTACCTGAGGAACAACTCCCACAGGCATAGGGGGAGCAGCATGAATTTCACTTAAAGTGTCCAACTGGGCCTGTTGGGATGTTTTTTTTTTAAAAATAAAAGTCTTGATGAATGACAGGACACAGCCATGACAGAGGCAGGATCTGTTTGGTGACAGTGTCGTCCCCAGGGCTGGCACCTGTCAGGTTGCTCTGAGTGGGGGTGAGGCTTCGGATGTGCTGGGGGGCAACGGTATTTTTTGCTTGCAGCTCATCAGAAAGGATTTCAGTTTACATTTTTAAAGCTCATTTGCCTTTATACCGAAACACAGATCCAGGATTTGGCTTTTTTATTTTTAATTAAATGAGAAAGAGGCACTGCAGAGCAGTTGGTACCTGTGGGCTGCCAGGCACTCACCTGAGCTGACAGAAATTCTCCTGCACATACATCCCTGTTTGGTCTCTCCAGAACACAGTCCCACAGAGCCAGTCTCCTGCATCCCAGCTGATGCTGTAGCATAGTTTTTGGCTGTCCCACAGTCCTGGCTGTCACTCCTGCTGTCACCTCCCAGCTCCCTGGAGTGCCACCCCTGGGTACACGAAAACCTCCCATTAAAAATTTCACCGACCTTAATGTAACAAAGCAGTATTTTTCCAATTGGGAAATGAATAAACAGGGAAAAAAAATTTGTTTAGACATTCCTAAGCAGCTTGTCTAGAGCACTGCTGTGCCACGTCCAAGAGCATCCCTCCTCCCCTGTGCCCACTCTTGCACCTGCACAAGGCGATGCCATGAGCGGGCAGAGCCTCGGACCTGACTTGGAAACCCTACGGATACAAGGGCACATCCCACTGAATGTGCGTGTGTCTGCCAGCCCCTGCCTGGAGTGAGCGCTTTTATAAGCACAGCAGAGATTGGGAAATGTGCTGTGATTCATCTGAATCCCTGCAGTCCCCACTCCCACCCCAGCTCAGCACCCACGAGCGCCCGGGAGCTGCCAGACGCAGCACCACGCCTGCCTCCGGCTCCTCACCCGGCACCCGCTGCCAAAGGAACGCCCAGAACTTCGAGCTCAACGCCACAAATTATTTATTCTTATCTGGGGAGGAAGAGAAAAAAAAAAAAAATCCTGAAGTGCTTTTTATTACTGAAAATTATCATATTGGGGATTATCATATTCATCAGCTGGGCTGGATCCGCCGGCGCCGGCGCTGACCGGGGCGTTTTGCTGTTCCTGCTGGGATTGGTGCTGGCAGCTCTGGCTGAGGTTTCTCTCTCCCTCTTGTCTCAGCCTGGAAACTGGGATTGTAAATTATTTTGGCCGGGGATAAACTGGCCTAAATAATTTGCTTGTACAGCGCTGAGCCACAGTGGCCTCTGGGTCTCAGCTGAGCCTTCTAGAGCCTTCTAAAAATAAGTAATTCTAAGCTGTTATCTTTTAAAAATACTTGTAAAAAAAAAAAAAAAAAAAAAGAAGGAGCAGGAAGAGGATCCTTTCCCAGCTGTTTTGTCCTCAAACTGCCAAGCTTTATTTTTTTTTAAATGGTATTTTCTTGATCAATTCTCTCCGTAGCTTTTCATAAAACAAGGGTCCACAAATTTAAAAGCTGGGGCACAGCAATAATCATTTGAAAACCACTAGTTAAGGTCTAAAATCCAAGCTACCGGTAACAAAATAAAAATTAATCTCAAAACAATGTTTTTACGCACGAGTTGATTACTCTTCCCAGCCTGGAATTATTTTGCAAACAAATATCAATTAGAGAGTGAACTTTTCTTCTATTTTTTTTTTCCTAAATAAAAACAGATAT